CCATTGTGCCCGGTTAGATCTACTTTCTTTGATATAAAATGTATACATTTGAAAGCATAAGCTCAAACTGATTTCTTCAATTCCAGGCCAACGCAACAGTATTCATTCTGGTCTTTCCCTTTCCCATATTTGAATCTTTCTTTCCCCAGCTGTATGAAACCTGGCTCCTATTATTCTCAATATATTTTCTCATTTGCTCAATTCTAGAATACACAGAAAGTAGTTTCAGAATTACTAGAGCATACCACAGTGATACACAGAGTTGCTAACTCGAGTTCAATATTTGTTTACAGTTGTTTTTGGGTTTTGTATTTAGATTGAGAATATGTCATCAGAATACTGTGCTCAAAAGTCACTTGGGTTAGCTCCTCTCCTTGCTCAGGTGTGAACATGCTTTTCATCTGAGATGCAGCTAGATTCATTTGTTTCTAGTTGTATTCCATTCTAGAGTTCTCCTGCACTCAGTAATTTTTCATAACACAAAGTGCCATGGTCAGTATACCATCTGTACTTGTTATGGTGGAAGTAATCAGTGTAAACACCGTTTTTAGCAATGTTTAGCTAAACTCATCCTAATAACTCTGGGTGTTAATGCCTCTGCCTTCTGAATGTAAATCGGCAGGAGTCCTCAGGCGACAGTTGTGTCAGTCCACACACGGCAGCCTTTGGTCAGCAGGGAGTGTGTGAAGGTGTCTTACTGCTGACTCTGGAGGAGAAGACATTTCCAGAAGATACGTGCTACCCAGATCAAGGTGGTGTCTGTCAGGGCACGTGTGTAGGAGGTGGTCCCTACGCACAAGGCGAAGATGCCAGGATACTCTCATTGGTCAGCGAGACCGAGACAGAGGAAGACCGCTTCAGACAGATGCCCACGGAAGATGAATACATGGACAGGCCCTCCCAGCCCGCAGACCGTTTACTGTTCCTCACTGAGCCTGGAAGCAAATCCACACCTCCTTTCTCTGAACCCCTGGAGGTAGGGGAGAATGACAGTTTAAGCCAGTGCTTCACAGGGACACAGAGCACAGTGGGTTCAGAAAGCTGCAGCTGCACTGAGCCCCTGTGCGGGACTGATTGGATTCCCATGTCCTCTGAAAACTACTTACAAAAAGAGGTGGACGGTGGCCATTGCCCGCACTGGGCAGCCAGTCCCAGCCCTAACTGGGCAGATGTCTGCACAGGCTGCCGGAACCCCCCTGGGGAGGACTGTGAACCCCTCGTGGGTTCCCCGAAACATGGACCCTTGCCCCAGTGTGCCTATGGCATGGGCCTTCCCCATGAAGAAGCAGCCGGCAGGACAGAGGCCAGAGACCAGCCCGAGAACGGGACTGATGGGAGGCTCCCAAGCTCGGCAAGGGCAGGCGCCGGGTCTGGAAGCTCCCCTGGTGGCCAGGCCCCTGCATCTGGTAAGTGACTTCCCGGCCTCTCCCTTCTGGGCAGAAGGGCCAGTTCTTGGTACAGGGTTTGGGGGCAGGTATTACAGACCATTTAGGAAGGAGGAAGCTAATGGGAAAACCTCAGCTTGCGCTTTTTCTTTTAATAAGCATTTTTACAGGATGGCTTTGGATTCAGTTCACACGTTTGGTTATACATTGCACGCAGCACTGTGTGGCTTCATCGTCTACCACTGGGGCAGTTTCTGCATCCGTGCATGTCCCATACCCTTTTGCATTCAGGCTTTTCATGATAGGATAAGACCTCAAGCCCCAGCACTGACCCCCAAAAGACAAACTCAACATCGGCCTCAGGACTGGCTGAGCCAAGGCATTCCCTCAGATTTCTGCTTTTTGGTTTTTGTTTTCAAAGCACCTTAGGCCTCTTAAATCTCCCCCAAGAAAGCTCTTATAAATTTTACGGGGACACACAAAATTGTTCAGTTAATCCTTAATTAATTAATATTTATTGTGAATAATGTGTTGATTCTATACCAAATTAATGATACAGTAAAACTCTTTTTAAAAGTTTCATGAGAAAGGCCCCTTTTATAACCACAATGTATCATATATTTATGGAACCAGGCAGATAATTTTAACAATTTAATATCATTATAAAGATGTATCACTGCAACACTGCCTGAGCATGAACAACCTACCAATTATAATATTGTAACTTTTTTCCATGAGGGTAGAACACCATCTGTTTTATTGTGTAGTTACAAAGGACTTTGCAGCTGATAGTGAGGGCTCTGGCTCTGAGAATTATCTGTCATTTGAAGGGTCAGTGCTCTGTCTGAGAATCTTCCGAAAGCTATAGACACTCCCTCCAGAAAAATGAATATATGGATATATACTATTTAAGGGGCTTCACAGAATCCTCCAACTCATGATTTTCAAAATGCCCATTCATAGGCCGCCCTTCTCCAGAGATGTTTTTTCTTCTCTGCTTCTTTATTTAGACTGCAAGTGGTGCTAGCAGCCGGTCTTTGAATTGTTTTATAACCCTGAGGTAGCTAGATCTGTGCCTTAAACACAGATAGTGTTTTGCCTCGTGGTAATGATGGTTCCTGGCTTTAATCTGTTCCTCAAGCTTGTGGTTTTGCTGCAGCTACATAGATTTACCGATGTATAAATTCAGTAATAGTAATTCTCAGTCAAACGGAAAGGAGGAGATATGTTTGGGGATATTTTTCAAAGAACTGGTATGTTTTCTTCTCAGAAGATCTCAGAATTATTATTATTATTTTAAGATTGTAAGGAATCTCCATGACTGGGCTTTGCTGTTCGTTTGCATTGATTGATTGATTGATTGATTAGTTGATTGATTTAGAGACCAAATCTCACTCTGTCGCCCAGGCTGGAGTACAATGGCACGATCTCGGCTCATTGCAACCTCCACCTCCTGGGTTCAAGCAGTTCTCCTGCCTCAGCCTCGAGTAGCTGGGACTATAGGCGCATGCCACCACACCCAGCTAATTTCTATATTTTCAGTAAAGATGGTTTTTTTCCATGTTGGCCAGGCTGGTCTCAAACTCCTGACCTCAGGTGATCCACTTGCCTTAGCCTCCCAAAGTGCTGGGATTGCAGGCGTGAGCCACTGCGCCTGGCCCGTTCTATTTCTTTTCTCTCCGTTTATTGTCTTCCCCCTGGTTGTGGAGACAGACAGTTCCCTGGGCTGTGGGGAGCGAGAAAGCTGACGTTCTGTCTCTGGCGGCAGCCATGTCCTGACCGCACTGTCAGGGGCAGACCGGTTTTTCAGTGGGTGACACCAGGAAGATGACGTTGCCACTGTGTGAAAATCAGCAGCAGTTCTTGGAAGAACAGCGTTGGCCAGATTTAAAGAGAGAGAGAGATACATGGATCTTTTAATGCCATAAAACAAAAAGCCCGATCTTTGCTCTCCTGTAAGAGTCAAAACAGTAGCCTAGTCTGTTTTTCATCATCTTTTCTTTCTCTAGCACTAAACCATCTAGGGATGGAGGAAAGGAATAAAAAGTGTATCATCAACTAAGTGGTGTTAATTTGCAAAAAGTTTACACTGCTTTTTCTGTCTTCGTCTGGTGCTTAGCCATGCAAAACATCCGTAGACCGACGCCAGCAAGCGGTCCAAATTCATTTTCGCCTGAGGAGAGGCAGCAGCCAGATTGATTTTGGAGGCTGTGCTATTCTCTCCACAATTACTTCTCCATGAACAGGCCTTACGGCTTCTGGTCAGAATAGTACCTTCTCATTCTTGTTTTTGTAGTTTTTAAAAAAGTCACAATTCACGTTCTATAAAATGCGTGAAAGAGGATGGAGCTTAGGTAAGCCATCCCACAGAGGCCTTATCCTGGGGTCCCCTCAGCGCCCCTGTGCTCTCAGGACTCTTGCTGATGTGGCATTTTTTAAGGGTTTTTTGGATTTTTATATGAGAGTATTTTTTGTTTGTTTTTGCTTACAATCCCATCAAACTGTTTCTGGAGAAATGACAGTGACTGGGGACTTTTTCTTTAGGGAAGGGTATCTGCTGTCCCAGCATCTTTGTGAGGAGAATGATGACTTTTCAGACAGCTCCACAAGTGCAGACAACTTTAAAAAATATAATACCCAGTGCTGTTAAGGCTATTTTAGCCATATGATAAGTCCTAAGCAGCAAGGAGAATGATTAGCAAAGATCAGTGAAGAGGGAAGCATACTTCTGGTTATGTCTCAAATAACCATGCCTTAATTTAGGTCTGAAGTTACGCCTAATCCTGATGACGTCACGGTTGCCTTGGTTACAAGCCCTCTCACCTGGAGACTGGCTCATTCTCACTGTGCCCCTAGAGAGTTATTTCATGTGAAAGAAACCATAACTACTCGTGATTAATATGTCTGTTGGTGGCTGGTGGCTTGGTTTTGGCTCCCGAAGCCACTGGTTAGTTTCAGTCACTTCTGAGCTGGAGAAAGTTAGGGTGGTCTTTTTTTATTATTATTATCCTTTAAAAATGATTTTGCTTTTTAATTATTTCAACTTTTATCATAGATTCAGGTTACACGTGCAGGTTTGTACCCGGTATATTGTATGATGCTGAGGTTTGGGGTTTGATTGATCCCGTCACCCAGGCAGTGAGCACGGTATCTTCAGTCCTTGTTTCTCTCCCTGTCTCCCCTGCCTAGTTAGGAGTCCCTAGTGTCTATTGTTGCCATCTTTATGTCCATGAATACCCACTTTTAGTTTCCACTTATAAGTGAGAACATGCAGTGTTTGGTTTTCTGTTTCTGTATCAATTTGCATAGGATAATGGCCTCCAACTGCATCCATGTTGCTGCAGAGGACGTGATTTCCTTCTTTTTCTATGGCTGCAAACAATTCTTGATGAACACTGAATACCTATTTGTTTCTCAATTAAACCTTTATTGAAGGTCCACTGAACCACAGAGACTTGGAAAAGCCTGAAAAACAAGTAGGGATTAATGCCAGGGTGTGGACCATGTGAAAAGGAATCAATCATTTGAGAAATCCAGGCCTTCCACAGCCTGCCCCCTCTCTCTGACCTGCAGCCTGTTGTTTGTAATGAATCTTGGGGACTTTTTCCCCTGCCTGGATACTCTCACACCCTATCAACACCCCAGCTCTAGGCAGCCACAACCAGTTAGTAGGAATTCTGGCTGGGTGCAGTGGCTCACACCTGTAATCCCAGCACTTTGGGAGGCTGAGGTGGGTGGATCACTTGAGGTCAGGAGTTCAAGACCATCCTGACCAACATGGGGAAGCCCCATCTCTACTAAAAAACAAAAAAAAAATAGCTGGGCCTGGTGGCACGCGCCTGTAATCCCAGCTATTTGGGAAGCTGAGGCAGGAGAATTGCTTGAGGCTGGGAGGCAGAGGTGATCTGAGATCTTGCCAATGCACTCCAGCCTGGGCAACAGAGCAAGACTCTGTATCAAAAAAAAAAAAAAAAAAGAAGTGGGGGGGCGATGAATTCTCATAGCCTAATCTTTCTAGTATCTCAAAATGTTAAGTGAATGGATGCTTATACATTCATTCATTCATCCATTGAGGAATAAATAGATGAACACGAGACCACTGTATCTCGTTTGTTCCCCCAAGTCACTCTCAGCCTCCCAGTTCTTTGGTCTGCTCTAGGGAGCTGAAGAAGGAGGGGCATGGAAGGGCTGGCACTGACTGCCCTGGGCTCACCCAGTGTCCTGGGCAGAGGAGGCAGAAATGACAGAGCACAGGTGACCTGGTTCATCCTAGCAGCATAGACTCTCCAAGGCCATCACCTGGGAGCCAGGAACACTGGACAGTGAAGACCTACCTGACCCCTCATCCTCCCCTGTCCTCCATCTCCATCCCTGGTCCCACTATCTCCTGAAATGACTGTTGTTGACCATCCATTTCCATTCTGAGAGTAGAGAAAAAGATTTTCCTATCCAAACTTACCTCCTCTCCTTTCTTCCCCTCCAGCAGAGGACAGCCTTCTCGCTCTTTCTTCACACTCTTGTTAGAATGCCATTTACCACCTTGCATATCACTTTCAGCTAAATCTCATAAAGGCAGATATGGTTCATTGGCCCTGAATCTTGAAGTTAAAATAGATATTTCATAATTAGGTTATTTGGTGATAATATTCAGCTTTCATTGCTGTAAAACGTCAATGCACTATTTCAAAAGATACGAAAAATGTGGTCACTGTATATACTCTGCTTCATTTCATCCTGCCTTCCTTCTTTCTGCACTGATAGGGCTCATTTTGGAAGGCTTTGGTCTGTAAGACTTTCTAAGTAATTGTCAAGCATGATTCAGAATGGAACTATTAAATACTGTTTCCCTTCCCTTATCATCACATACCCAGTTTCTTCTAAATGCCTGAAACAGAACTTACATTTCCATAAAAAGGAAAATCACATGAGAAGCATATGGGTTAAATATAAAATAAGTTTTTTAAAAAATTCCAAAAGAACCCAATGTAGCCTGGGTAGTTTGAGTGTATTTGTGTATATTT